TACAATGAATTTCCATTTTCTTTGTGAGAATTAAAGATTATCAGCACAAGAAGTCCCTTGTATTATTCGAGTTTTTGAAATAGTTCAAACAAAGGCTGAGATTAATAAAGACAAGCTCACCATATTCCTATTGATACGTCGTCCTCTGTTTGAAGATAAAAGTTGCGAGTTCCTAACAAGTTGAAATCTTCTGGTTTGCTGAAATCCACTGTTTTTGCTGTGTTTTTTTTTTTTTTTTTTTTTTTTTTTTTAACCGGAAAAAGGGGATTGTAACATACCATGAGAAAACAGTGCTTATATAAGAACCAAAAACTGACTTTCATGTACCATCAAATTTCAAGTTTTAACTAAGTCATACAGAAGAAGCTTAAGACTGCCAAATGTAACATGTAAATCATCAAGAACAAAAACATGAAGTGGAACAAAAGGTACAACTTACAGAGGAACAAAAGGCCAGGCAGAGATGTGTGGCGGAAGATTAAGTACCGTTGCAGTCCCGGGGAGTAATGAACAAGGATAGGAAATGCAACACAGAACAAGAACAGAAAAACTGTCACTACTGCTACCACTAACTTAAGAAACCTGCGAATAAATATGTTTTATTACATTCTGCTTTGCATATAAACATAAATGCATACATCCACACACAAATACACACACACAGGCACACATACATTTTATACATATATACATACAAATATATATATATATAAAAAGAAAGAAAAAGAAAAAGAAAAGAAAAAAGAAAAAATAATAAAACACAGATGTATATATACAAATAAAAGTGAATAAATAAATATAATAAAAAATAAATAAACAAGGATACAGTATATAGTTGCTAATGCCAAAACAAGTGGGGTGCCTAGCACTGACAGGGATAAATTTTAGTAGCTTTATAATATGAGAAGCAGGAAAGTAGAACTTACATGAAAATAATCACAGTTTTGATTTTTTGTCACTTTTGTTTTTTACACAAAGGTGGTGCTTTGTCACCAAGGTATCATCTGCTAAACCTATATATCCACTTTCGATACATAAATGTCCCTCTGTATCCTTGTCTCTGTCTTTCTGTTTGTTTGTACTACTGTCCATCTGTTTGACTGTTTATTTATCTTCCTGTTTGTCTGTCTATACATCTATCCATCTGTCTGTTAACATTAAAACCCATTTATCCTATTCCTAGAATTTTGGTGATTTTTGAAAAAATCTAACACTAGTAATTATTAACATATTTATCAATATCATCATCACCATCCCACCATTTTTAATAATCATAATAAAAATAAAAAAAACTTTTATTTCCAACCACTCCAAGAATGGGGTAAACAGGTGAGATCAGGTAGGCCTAGTAACTGACCCCATGGCGATAAAGCACTTATGGTGTTATCTAAGCGTAAACAAAATCAATATAATGAAATTGCAGTGGGCAGGCATTGTATACATGCACTCCTAGCATCAATGGGTTATTTTCACTCTGCTTTGTATTAAAAAAGGATATACGGAAATTTGTAACTGTCATACAACTTTTTACCAGTTATAGCTTCCATAATAAAAAGAATATTAAAAACAATAAAAATACAGACAGATCAGTAAAATCATATTGTTATAAGATGGTCCTATGAAAAACAACTGAAATTACATAAAAAACAAAAAATAAATTTGCTGGAAAATAAATTGAATTTATTAATATGGTAGGTACATATTCCATATAGGATTGCCTATAGATTAAAAAGGTAATGGCCATAAAGAACACGTAAACAACAAGTGTAAAAATAACCCAAAAATTCCTAATTGAAGTCTACAAAACTATACTTCAGAGATAAGTTCTGGCAAATCTGCACTATGTGTCATCTAGCATACAAGGATTTGTGAATCTCCTCAATGAATCTTTTTAAAACAATTGAGAATTCAAGCTCTATTTTGCTAGAATATACATGCACGAGGTTTGTTGGTCTTTGCTGCTGACCAAAGTGCTGAGGCCGTAAAGGCTGTTCGTTCAGTCCTACTCTGAAGATCTGACATTAATTAATATAACAAATAATTCATAAAGCAAGAATCAAAATTTTTATATACCTATTCTATTCATACCTTATGAAACAATCCTTTTTCTATTTGATTTTCAAGAAATGTAAGAATTAATGGACAGTTTAAGGAAAATGGATAATTGTTTTAGTACAACTGTTCATCTATTGCCTCCTACCTCTTAAATCTTCCTCGTCTTCCAGTGCCCATTGACAAGAGTCGGAAGCGAGGCATGGTCTTAAAACTGCAAAAAAGAAGAGACTTGTCATAAACTTTGGCTTTATGTTACCTAAAAAAAAGGAGAAGTAAATAAAAAAATAAAAATGAACTATAGGAACAAATCCAAAAAGTAAATTCTTCATTAATCTATAAAGACTAGGTAGTCTAACATGAGGTTCTGAAAAGGAAGGGTGGGTGGCATAATATTACATCTGAGACTTGGGTAGGTGAGCTTTTGCCTATCTGAGAAGGTCACATC